CTTCCAACCTGGTTGATTCTCTGATTTAGGAAACCTTACCAGGCATTTTGCATAGAAGTTAATGGGCTGAGGGGTTTTGTTTCTGGGTTGGGTTTTTTTTTGAGGGTAGGGAATTGGTTGGTTGGTTGTTTTTTTCAAACTGGGAAGTATAACCACAAGATGGAAAAGCTCTCACTACATTGCTTACCTATTGTGAGTACTTGGCAGATGTGTATATATAGACTGGAGGAATTAAGCTTTTTTTTCTGAAGTATAAGCAATTCTTTCAAAAGGCTGTGTAAGAGGCATAGAGAATAGGAGAATAAATTGAGCTTGAGAGAAGGAAAAGAAATTATTCATCTTCTGTTTGCATTTTGCATGGGGAAATAAGTTCATGGTTAATACTGGTTTCCAGTGACAGTAAAATAACGTTTCCTAATGAGGATTCTGGGAAAGTGACACAAAGGAGGTAGATTAGTTTTCTTTTACCACATTTGTATCCAGTACTCAAGACTACTGGATGGCATTGGTGAATAATGACTCTTGCAGTGGCTGATGGCATCTGTAGAGAGCCAAAAAAATTGCTGACTGAATGTTGCTTTTATAGAAACTCCTGTTGTGCAGAATTAAAAAGTGTCATGCTGCATGTTGCTATGGATAATTTGCTCAGACATGGAAGGAAACATTTCCTCTCTGCCTTCCTACCTATTTTCCTTTTCTGAAAATGGGCTGAGATATATCAGATTGCTAAAAAGAGGTGTAAGGAGGATGTGTGGGAAAAGGATTTGATTCCTGATGCTCACAGAGCACATAGACCTGAATTCTTAACTAGAGTATTTGTGTTTAGCATCAGGAGAGATAATTCTTGTTTCCTTCAGAGCAGAACCCAAATATACTGACAGTGGATGTGAATTGTACTCTTTAATGAAGTTTTGTATATTATTGCCTTTTCCAAGCTGCCATAATTTGCTGATAAAATGGTTGTGTATCCTGTTCTAGTTTGTGATTAGAACACTTTTTATATTTTACAAAACAATTGGCACTTATATTTATTTGAATAAAATATAAAGGACACAATTTCAATGTCTAAAAGAAAACAAATTAGATAATAGAGAGAATAGCAGTTTTTTGGGCCTAAATATGCTTTGATGTGAGAGAAAGGAGAGAGATACATCCCTTCATAGCAAACAGGAGAAGGGTAGAGAGGTGTGTGGAGTTGGCTTTTGATTTTTTTTTTGAAAGCACAGGTGGTGGAAAGGTTTAGCTATTCAAAGAAGAATATTAGAGCTAACAGTGCAGATTAGTAATATTTATATGAATTTCTCCCTGTCACCTGGGGGCTGTTGCAGAAGGTGAGAGTCTGTCTGGTGTTCACTGCAGGGCAGGTCTGAGTGTGGGATTTTGAAGCAGCCTAACAGTTGAACTGCATTGGCAAACCATAGATTTCATCAGTGTATCGATGCTCTGCCCTCCCTTTGTGTGTCAGGATGTGTGTGAATATTTGTTTCAGCTTCTTGGTTGCTGGTTTTTCTTTTCCTTCCATTTGATTTTATATGTAGCTCCATGGCCACAAGTCAAACCTTCAACGTGGGTAAATAGTCAAGTCACTCAATCTGAAAACTGAAGTTTTCTTTGCAGCTTTGGCTTTGTTCCAGTTTGCTGGGGGTTGGTGTTGGGTTCTTTTTTGTTTTGTCTCTTGAAATTTTATGCTGCATGAGGTGTTAATGTTCATCATCCTCTTACTCTCACACTGCATTGAGGTCACGAGCAGAATGTGAGTTAGTTTGTACATTTAATAATTCCTGGCAGAGAGGAGGTTGTCTCTGTCCTGGAGTATCTAGAGTAGCTAGTTATTTTCTTTGACCTGTGACTCTTTAAAAAGATGCTGCCAGGGGAAAAGGTTCTCTAAGATTCAGGTACATTATTATTCCATTTAGCAGTTACAAGTTAGAGTTGCTTTTCTCTGGTGACTCAAGAATGTTCAAATGTGTCCACGTTTGTATATGGCAATTAAAAAAGCTGTGAAGTAATATTTCATAAGGTCATAGTAGATTTTTTTTAGCTTTAGGTGAGTTTGTGTTTGTTTGGGATTGCTATATTTAGAGAGCTATGGCTTTTGGAATTTTAATTTGAAGGGAATGGTTTGGAAAGTGTTATATTTGGGCAGCAGGTAGACAGGAAATTCTTAGTGATTCCACACTTAGAAGAATGTCAATTAATTAGGAAGAGGAAAACATGTTTTTGCTGTGTTCATGGACTGTCATGTGTAAATCCCAGGACAGGTCTCAGCATAATTTAGCAGATGAAAGCACATCTCCTTCCAAACCTTTCAGTATTTGTTATGTGTAAATCCCAGGACAGGTCTCAGCTTAATTTAGCAGATGAAAGCACATCTACTTCCAAGCCTTTCAGTATTTGTATAGAGAAAGAGCTGTCATAGTCCAAAAATCTTAGAATCATAGGATCATTTAGGTTGGAAAAGACCTTTGAGATCATTGACTCTAACTGTAAATCAGTGTTTGTCTTGAAAGAGAAAGGACTGGGCCAGATATATTACTACTTTCTACTCTCTTAATACTGGGGGAGCAGATTAAGCAAAATGAAAAAACCCTCATAATCCTATGGCCATGGACCTGAATGACTCTACAGGAGTAGTTTAATGAAGTCCCTAAATGTGCTGTGAATGTCTCTATGGCTTTTAGAAAGGTCTGATTTATTTAACAGATACCAGATCAATCAGTTCAGTGCTTTGGGGACATAAGAGTCTTCCCACCACTTGTGCAGTGGAAACCCATCATACTGTCTTGTCCAGTTAAAAATCTGGCATGTCAAAAAGTTTGTAAATCTTGCCTTGGCATGTGTAAAGTGCAAAATCAAAAGGTCTGGGGAGGTGTGGACAAGTTCCTTAAAAGCCAATTGAAGGATTTTTGGAAGGCAAGTCTAACTGGCCTTTGGTTTGAAGTGAGTTTTACTCTCTCAACCCCTCTCCCCTGTCAGGAGAGAAAGTTTTACAAAAGAATAGCTAATGGCACTTATTTTAAGGGCTGTGGAATATCCATTTGTTTGTAAATGAGATTGTTATTTAAAAATAAATTTTCTGATTTGTCAATTTTATTTCTAAGCAAGATATTTATCGTAGATGTGAATTGACTGTGTATGTGTATTTATACTTCTGTTTTCCATCTGTGTAATGCTTAATGTCTAAGTAGGTGTTATCTGTCAAGTGTTGAAGCAAGACTTGGATATAAAAATAGCTGTTTCTAAACATGAGTTAAAATCAGATGTGACATATCCATGTGTTACATATGTGTGTGCATATGGATTAATATATAGTTCTAGAAAACATTGTAAAAAAACCAGGTTTGATTAATTAGTGCTGTAAATCACTTTGGCATTGTGCCAGGCTGGGAGTGCAATGCTCTAGTGCAGTGACAATTGCTGAGGGGAGGAAACTGCATTTCAGAGTTGGTAGTACAGTAGGAGAAATGGTTCTGTGGTCGCAGGGTTGGGTTTAGAAACAAACCAACCCCAAATAAATAAACCCCACTCTCCCCCCAAAAAACCCAGGAGCAAACAAACAAACCAACAGACCCTTCACAGCCACTGTTTGCTTCCTAGAGCCATCAAGGCTGGAGGAGACCTCTAAGATCATCCAGTCCAACCATGAACCTGTCACTGCTGGAACCACTAAACCCTAAACCAGATCCTCCAG